TCTTCTCTTCTCTTCTCTTCTCTTCTCTTCTCTTCTCTTCTCTTCTCTTCTCTTCTCTTCTCTTCTCTTCTCTTCTCTTCTCTTCTCTTCTCTTTGTAGGTCCTGCTGGCAGAGCTGAAAGGGCGTGGAGAGTATTTTGCTGTGAAAGCTCTGAAGAAAGATGTAGTGCTTATGGATGATGATGTGGAGTGCACGATGGTAGAGAAAAGAGTCTTGGCTTTAGCCTGGGAAAACCCCTTCCTCACACACCTTTACTCCACCTTTCAGACCAAGGTACTTCCCCTCCATGTCATTAATGACTGTATTTTATTCTGCATCAGTAGTTACATTACATTACATCGTTGTGCCTTTAATAGTAAAAAATGAAATGTTTCTCTAGGAGCATCTGTTCTTTGTGATGGAGTATCTGAATGGAGGTGACTTGATGTTTCACATTCAGGAAAAAGGGCGCTTTGAGCTCTACAGAGCCACGTGAGTTCCACCTGTCACACAGCCATCATGACATACTGTACGTTACTCAGTGGAAACACAATCCCTGCCATCCTTACTCAGTGTTCACATGCTTGTCTAGCTGCCCAGAGACTCACATTTACAGAAGATACTTGTAAAGATCAGCATATGTTTATTGTCTCTTTGTCACTTTTTTAGCCTGCATCTTGTTTTCTTTTATATGATGTATAAAGTCTGAAGGACTGGGGCAATGCTGGCATCTATTAGCTCCTGTTCTTTAGAAGACAGGCCTTGTAAGGAGTGAACAGCTCTTAATGTTTGTGTATGGGGAGATATCAGTTACTACACCCACTTCTCATCACACTATGGGAATCTCTCCAGAGAAAAACAATCGCAAGCTGGTGAAATAAAGCGTTATGAATCCAAAATCTGGTGGCACCTTGACTGCCAACTAAACTTTTACTTTTTTAAATTAAATTACACTTTTACAAACCTGCTGACATTTCTTAGCAAGTGCTAAGGATTCAGAGAGATTAATATGAGAGTAATGATCATGTTATGTGGTGTTTAGAACCGATGAAATTCTTGCTTTTTAGTCAGTTATAAATTTAATTCACTGAGTGCAGAAATCTTTTGAAAAGTAATGTTTTGGCTGAAGATTTTTGACAGAATTTGGCTGTATGTAGCAGAAAAATACAAAGAGTGTACAGTCGGGTTTTAAGACTGAATGCATTCGCTGGATTTTTTTCTTATAAACCACTGAAATGCTTCATGTTCTGCTTTCTAACTGTTGTGCTTAGTCACTGATCTTACATCTCCTGTAGTTAAATCAGCGGCTGTGTCCAGTACCTTTGAGATGACAGGAGTAATTTTGTACTTTGCAAACACTGACACCTGATCCTTTGTTGGCATCCTCTAGAATTCTCCTCACTCAGTGACTGTATTCACTCTGGGTAATTTATCCTCAGTGAGTGAGAGAGAGAGTGGGCTATTTTATTTCCCTACTATTCATTCCTTTACGTGTTTGCATCTTTTTTTATGTTAATGCTTAAAACAAACATGCCTCAACAAGACAGCAGAAATTCTGTGGTTCATAAGACCGAATTTAAGTCAATTCCAGCAAAGCAGTAAATTAATTAAACAAATTTGCTTTAATTTAAATGTATGCTTACAGTCTGTGGTGTTAACCATGCATTGTTTTTGAAGACTGAATGGTAATATCAGTAAGAGCAGCAAGCTCATGCTATGAGCTGTTGCTTTTTTATGCAGTGCACTTTATGTAAGTTAACTTTGGTAGTTTTGCCTATCTTGCTGACAAACAGCATAGCTCCACCATGACTATAACATTGCCTGTTATAGTCATGCTGGAGCAGGTTGGTTGTTTAAACTTAAAAAAAAAAAAAAGAAGCCTGGAAAAGAAGCAATTAAAAAAAATTAAAAGGGTAAAAAAAAGAAGAAGGAAGGAATAAAAAAAAGAACTTTAATATTCTCTGCAGGGAAATTATTTTGTAACAGCTCTAATACTGGCGAGTTGTAAAATCCCACAAGCCTAACACAACACAGGACTACAAGAAATCACTGGGATGCATAGTCCGTAGTCTCAATGCAAGTGTGGATGATGTCACACGGAGTTGCCAGTTTGCTGGAGAGCGCGATGTAAACAACAGCCAATCTGGCATGTGAAAAGTCTGTGGGTATATAGTGTGGAAGTAGCCCCATGTTAAATATGTGGGCTGCAGAAGCGTTCCTTCACAGTAATGTGACAAGGGTGGCACCATCTGTTGTTAATAAAAGTGGCAAATCATCCACATCTTTATTTATTACGCTTGGATTTATTCCTGTTCACCCGAACTGTCTGAAAGCGGTTGATGGTAATCAAAGGATCTGAAATATACCCTGTTGCTATGTCTCTGTAAAACGTAACTGCACACTCATTAGGCTCATTTCCTTGTCAATCTCATTCCATTAACATAATTTCCTGCACTGTTAGAGGTGAGATATGGCTTTGATCCCCTCCTTTCATTTTCTTATCTATCTGTTCCTCCAGTGGCATTTCCTCTTATTTCTGTAGGAATGCTCATTATTGTTGTGAAAAAGACAAAGCAGTATTCTTCCATCAACCTGCACTTCCACTGCCATGCCAGTCAGGAAGTCGTCTAGTACCTGCAATATACATAATCTTCTGGTGACTTATTTATAATAGAATAGTTTCTGTAAACTTGATGACACACAAGATTAATGTGTCTAAACTGTCGTGTTGTATATTGCTGCACAGGCTGTCACAGAATATAAGGCATGTGCTGGATCTGGTTATGCAACATTTTTCCTTTGGCAGTGACTGAACTGCAGAGTCTCAGTTAAGCTCGTTGCCACCACAAAGGCTGCTGCTAACCTGACAAAGACTAGTTTCATGCACCATTTCAACTTTCCTTCAGCTTGCATGCATATCGAGGTGTCCTCTTACAACTGTGTGTTTTTGTTTTGTTCTTCGTGATCCAGGTTGAGACGTTCTTGTACATATGCCTGTACTGTCTGACTCCTATTCTATGAGGACTGCATTTCTAATGATGTTAAGTGAGAGATATTGACAGTCTATTCAGTCCTGTTCAGCAGGTCATTTAGTGTCACTGTGCAGGAACTGGGCTGGAGAGATGGCTTTGTGTGCTCTCCGGACCTGGTTGTTTCACTCGACACAGATGACAAGAGAAGCAGGTCAGCGATAGGCTAATCATTCGGCTCGCAGCAGCTCTTGGGTTTCACATTATGAGAGTGTTATTCACCTGTCTCCTACTCCATACAAATGTCCTCTTCAATAATTCAGGTGTACACTGAAATGAGTCTGCAGTTACACCAGTGTTAAGCCTCCATCTATGTACTGAGATAGCTCCGCACAGGCCTGTAGCTTTCCATCAGAGATGAGTGTCTGATATTTCTGTCTCTGACTCCTTTGTCTTGCCAGGTTCTACTCTGCCGAGATCATTTGTGGTCTTCAGTTTTTACATTCCAAAGGCATCATCTACAGGTCAGAGCACAGAATAGGAATTTCACATGAATATAAAATACACTTAAAAATCTGTTTTCTTTACATTATTTTGTTGTTGTTTTTTAATGCGCCAATGATTTCAGTTGCAAGTGTAATGAGAAAATGAATTTGCAAAGTCTCCAATCTTGTTTAGTTAGGTAATCCCACGCATTTTTGACACTTTTTCCCCCTGAAAGTTTAATTATTATTGTGTGGCATGCATTGAGCAAGGGCTGTTATGAAAACTGTGGACTTGGATGCAGTACAAAAATGTGATTTAAAATTTTTTTAAAAGATTTTGGGAAGAGGAAAATGTAAATGTGTTTATTTGTTACACTGAGAAAACCAGACTCCTGACATTTCAGGACAACACAAAACTAAGATAACTGTTACAAAATGTCTAGTAAATGAACATAGAAACAGTAGACCACTCAATTGGACTGCATATCTCAAAGACCTTTCATATCTCTGCATAATTTTGTTTTTTTTTAATTATAGTGAAATCACCTATAAGTATAGTAAAAATTCAATATCCTCAAAGAAACTCATATAATTACTGCATTTTACAAAACTGCTGCTTTGTGTAGCGAATAGTAGTGTGTAAAAAATCTCACAGTTCAAAGTGCAAATGCATCTGTAATCAAACATTAATCCCCTTAAAAGTTTATTTAACCTTTTATTGTAAGTTGTTATTTGTGTGGTAAATTCTGTTCTAACAAACACAAAATAGTTTTCTAAAACGTTATCATCACAATAACTCATGTTTATATCCTAACTTGGTTCTACTTTTTATTCATTTTCAGGGATCTTAAGTTAGACAATGTGATGCTGGACTGCGATGGGCATATAAAGATTGCTGACTTTGGCATGTGCAAGGAGAATGTATTTGGCGACAATCGCGCCACAACTTTTTGCGGCACTCCTGATTACATCGCTCCAGAGGTGCAGTCTTCTTCCAAAATTCGCTCTTGTGCTGAAATAATCAAATCTGCATTTAAAAACAAAACTTTTAAACGTCTGTCTGGTTTAATTGTTATTTATAATTTTTTGTTTAACTTTAGATTCTGCTGGGACAGAAATACTCATTCTCAGTTGACTGGTGGTCATTTGGGGTGTTGCTGTATGAGATGCTGATTGGTCAGTCACCTTTTCATGGAGATGATGAGGATGAGCTGTTTGAGTCCATTCGCATGGATACTCCCCATTATCCCCGATGGATCAGCAAGGAGTCGAAAGATCTGCTTGAGCGGGTTTGTATCATATCTTGAATACTAAATATAATAACCCCAAAAAGCGTTCAGACACGAAATGTCCATGAGTCCCAAAAAGTTGACTTTGTTCATCTGGACGTAGCGTTTTCAGTGGGAGTAATGTTTTATCACTCATCCAAGTGAGTTTCATGTGTTTATTTCACAAAGTATTAGGTAAACTAGTATTTGTGTCACTGGCAACAGACTGGACATTGAACAAGTCAGAAACATGAAAAGAAGCAGCTTGCAGATGCACAGAAACAGTGGGCAAGAAAAAGCAGCTTACATTTCATATCCTATATGAAATAACCATTTGAAAGGGTTTTAGGGTAACTGAGCTTAGTCCTCTGCTGGTGTGGACTAATACTGGGATCAGCTAGTCTGCTGGGATTGTTCCAAGACTTGCCTTTGTGGGCCTGCCTGAGCTAAAGCTTTGCTTGAGGTTTAGTGAAATGAAATCAGCCTTTCTTTTGAGGGAGCATCCAAAAGCCCTCCAAATATTAACAAAAAGTATTTGGACAAGTTCTAATTGTCACACTTAGTGCAACATATCCATTGTTAATATGGTCTACTCCACCTGCAGTTACTCTGCCAGTTGTAAGACCTCGCAGAGTCCTGACCTGAATAACTTAGATTGTCTGTGGAGTAGGAAATGACGGTAAAAAAATTAGCTTGTTGATACACTTGAGTGGAGGGAACATTAAGCACCAAGTTCAGTCCCTGGCTGGTACGGTCTGAGAACATAAGCAGTCCATTTAACTGAAAATCCTTTGTGTTTGACACATGATCATATTCCTTATGCAACCTTTCTGACCTTCCTTCCCTGCAGTTGTTTGAGAGAGACCCAACTCGCAGGATAGGAATTGTGGGTAATATCCGGTTACACCCCTTTTTCAAGAGCATTAACTGGCAGGCGTTGGAAATGAGAGAGGTTGAGCCCCCCTTCAAACCCAAAGTGGTACGTCACACACGTCACTGAGGATTTAAAAATTGTAGCTCTTGTGCTATGATTACATTTTGCTGAGATTTGTTTGTGGAAACTTCCAGAAAGCGCCGAATGACTGCAGCAACTTTGACCGGGAGTTCCTCAGCGAGAAGGCTCGTCTTTCCTACAGTGATAAGAACTTCATAGATTCCATGGACCAGTCGGCATTTGCTGGGTTTTCATTCATGAACCCCAAGATGGAGCATCTTTTAGAAAAATGATGTCATCCATGTCAGACTCATGCTACTCTCCTCATGTTTATGGAACAGTTTGCCTGCTTGCAGATGAGCAAGCTGTTTCACAATCAGTATTTGTTTCACCTTATTTTAAGCACAAACTATTCTTGGGTACGATCAAACAACAAACGGCCCGTGTACTGTATATATATATATGTGGATCTTTCATTTATGTGCATGCTTATTATTTGTATAGGTTATGAAGACCTGTGTGAGTAATAATATACTGTGGGAGTGGGAGTCTGAAAAATCCTTACATTCCACTTGACGTCATTGCTACCATCTGCTGCCATCATGTTTCCCTTTCATGTTGAAAATCATCTCCACTGGGGATAGAAAATATGAAATGGAGGAAAAAGGCTACAGGAACTAATTTTACTTCATGCTTCAGATATAGGTCGTATTTGTGAATGAGGTGACTGCATGTTTAGAGATTTGAGACCAAGAAAAATCCATCAATCTTAGCATTGTGGCTTAAATATGAATGTCATAATTTCAAACATCCAACTTCTTGCCTTTGACTAAGAAGAACTTGTGGTTGTAAAGTTGACTGAACAGTGCCATGTAATGATCAAACTTTAATGCTCCAGCTGTTTTCAGCTGTACAGAAAAGTTCTGTTTTGTGGATGGAGGTGCAATGAGTGCAGCCATGGGTACAAAAAGAGTAGTGAAATGACTAATTGGTGAGCCACTTAAATGCTGTATATAATATTTATGTATATTGTTGTTAACATGTATATTGGTTTGCAAAGGATGTATTTTTTTTTTTACTGTCTCCATATTTCCCATATAATAAAAAAAATACATAAACTCCCAAGTCTGTGCTCCTTTTGTGTGATTTTGAAGTGCACGTAATAGAAAAGGTTTTAAACAAATTGACTTTCAGGAGCTGGACTGGAGGCGATCTAAAGCAATATAATCTTTATATAAATCAAATTAAAATTTTGAAGGCTTTTCACTTAAAAGCGTTTTGGATCTGATCAACAACCCATTATCCTTTGATTAAATTTGATTCATAAACAAACCAAAACAAGAATCAGTATCAGTCGACAAAATTTTTTTTTTTCTATTTGTTAATAAATCTTTTTATTTGGACAGGAAATATTAGACACATTTTCCCGTAACTTATTATTATTATTATTATTTTTAATCAGAAATGCATATATGTGTTTATATAGCGAATATATTGAGACCCTATGGATGCTTGTTTCTGCCACTAAAACATCAACAACCAAGGTTTGAGTCAGAAAGTCGAATTTGGAGATATTAACCAGTAATGCATTTTCCAGAAACACGTGGTCCACGTGGACCTGTAGTACATAATAAATTCCCGAGCATTAATTTTTGATTTCATCTATAGATTTTTCCTAAGCATTATGACGCTATCTAGTGGCACTAGGGTGAAAGCAACGTTGCGTGACGTCACTACGTAATGCGCTTGCGTAAAATGTCTACGGAAGTATTGGTGTACGATCCACAGCTTTAACTGCCGGGCACAACTGACAGCTCATAGTTGCTCTACTGGAATAATGTCTGGTGCCGCCGGTTTGTAATGCGGTCGAGATAAGAGTTCCCACACTATGGCAGCATTATGATTCTTCTTCGTAGAAAGCAGCGGACACCTGGTATGCTCCACACCTGACTACAGTTTTCACAGAGCCAAAGGAAGATCAAAATGAGCTCTCAGGACATACTGCAGAGTGTGTCCACTCTAGCGTCCTATAATGTGTTGCTACAGGTAAACAAACACGGTAGTTGATGTGTGTTGAGCATTTACAGCATTTTTTTTTATTTATTTATTCATTTATTTGTCCGGTTTTATGTCCTCAGGTAATGTTTCGTGTGCTCACCTTTCTTCTGAATGCCTTTACGCTGCGGTTTGTGTCCAAAGAGCTGATTGGGGTGGTCAATGTCAGGTAAAGTTTGCAGGAAAACAACACAATGGTTTTCGGGCTCCAGCCGCTGTAACACGTGTCCTTACGTGTGTCTTTATTATGCAGGCTTACACTGCTGTATTCCACATTAGTGTTTCTGTCTAGAGAGGCTTTCCGGAGGGCCTGTCTGAGCGGGCAATCAGGCAAAAACCACAGCTGGAGACCAGTTATCAATCTCCTATGGATGACGTGAGTTGATTAGATGATAAAATAGGCATTCTGATTTTCAGTTTTTGATGCTCACATGTTATTTCTAATTTTTCAGGGTACCCCTTGGTGTGTTATGGGCAGTACTTCTGTCATATGTGTGGCTTTGGCTCCTAGAGGTCCCAGATGCTCACACTGTCCCTTACTACAGTCCTGCTGTGGTGCTGTTTGCCTTATCTGGGGTGCAGGAGCTCCTGGCAGAACCCTTGTGGGTCTTGGCTCAAGCTCACATGTTTATCCGATTGAAAGTGGTGGCTGAAAGCTTGGCAATGATCGCAAAGTGCAGCATAACTGTGGTGCTGGTGGTGTTTTCCCGTGAATGGGGCCTTTACATCTTTTCTGCTGCTCATGTAAGAAATCAGCTGAAGTATCAGCTGCTTTATTTCTGCAGATATTTGTTTGAACTTTTCACGACTTTGTGCTGTGTTCACTTTTTCTAGTTGGTGTACACAGGGATCCTGGTGCTATGCTATGCTGTTTACTTCATTCATTTCCTGGGTTCCAAAGAGGCAGCGAGGAATAGTTTCCCACTGCGCCGTGTTAGAGATTTGCTGCCCCGCAGACAGTATGGAGAGGTACTTGACCTTGCACGTCATTATGCATTACTCATCACTGATCCCATCAAAGTCACACTGAGTCATTGCATCTGAAATCACTGTGTGCCTTCTGCTCGACCATCTCCAAATTTGCATGCTAAATTTATGGTACAAAGTTTGGATGTATGTGATGATTGCTGTGAAATATTCGCACTGAAGATCAAATCATTCTCTCTCTCTCTCGATCTATCGATCTATCGATCGATCTATCTATCGATCTATCTGATTTATGAAATTCCTAGTCGCAAAAATTAAGAAAATGGCATTACCATTCAACTTTCATGCTGGTAGAGCAAATATGACAAGTTGTACCACAAAAACAATAGCAGACAGTCTAACCTGAATAGAAGAAAACTCTATTTTGTGCAAAGTTTTCATTTTTGAGACCCACTTTTAAGGCATGCACTCTGCCCTGAAGGAATCAAATCATTCAGATTAGGTTTAAAATAAATGCAACAATGTATCATTTTCATGTATATTACAATATCATAGACAGCAGCCTTCGTTGCAGCAGTCAGCATGATGATTATCTGATCCCTGCTTGCCTGTGGAAGTTCTGGCGTTAAGGTTAGGTTTGGGTTACACTGCCTCAGATGCCTCAGGGAAACAACGGCCTGAAAGTGGGTGGATAGGCCATTAAAAAATCTAGAAAAGCATTTAGCATATAAAGCTAAAAATTTATATCCAAGCTTTGTGCTATAATGTTTTAGGTAAATTAGAGACAGTCAAGCAGAAAATGTTGTAAAAATCTGATTATTTGTGATTATTAATTATATTTTGGTTACCATTCACGGCGGACATTCTTAACCTTTTTCTGTGTTTAAAGCCGTTAGTCGACAGGAATCTAGCGCGGCTCACTTGGAGCTTCTTCAAGCAATCCTTCCTGAAGCAGATCCTGACCGAGGGTGAGCGATACGTCATGACCTTTTTGAACGTCCTCAGCTTTGGAGATCAGGGTGTTTATGATATCGTCAATAATCTGGGCTCCATGGTGGCGCGCTTCATCTTCTTGCCAATTGAAGAAAGCTTCTACATATTCTTTGCCAAAGTGCTGGAGAGAGGGCGCAATGTCAAAAGTCAGAAACAGGTCTGAACTGTGGACGTTATCTCAAACAAATGTTTGTGAGCGGCTATGCTGGAATTGTTGATTTGACCTCTTTTTGCTGGTTTTTGTTATAGGACGAAGTTGCCATTGTCGCAGAGGTCCTGGAGTGCCTGCTGAAACTGGTGCTGGTGATTGGTCTGATTATCACAGTGTTTGGTTATGCATACTCTCACCTGGCTCTGGATATTTATGGTGGCTCTCTCCTTAGTAGTGGGTCAGGTATGTGAGCTAGAATCCGGTGACAGGAGACACCAGTATATGACATTTTGCTTTGCTGGGAATTTGTAAAATGTGTTTCTTTATTTTTTAGGGCCCAGTTTGCTGCAATGCTACAGCTGCTATGTCCTCCTGCTTGCTGTGAATGGTGTAACAGAGTGTTTTGTTTTTGCTGTCATGAGCCAAGAAGAGGTTGACAAGTGAGAATGCAGAAACACACACACACATATATATGTACATAGACACACAGTTATTTTATAGCGTGTAAACTGTCATTTAACACTGAGTTTATGTCCTCAGGTACAACTTCATCATGCTAGCCCTGTCTGTCTCCTTCCTCTTCCTGTCATACGTACTGACAAGTTGGGCTGGCAGTGTTGGCTTCATACTGGCAAACTGCCTCAATATGGGCCTCCGTATCTTACACAGCCTGCTTTACATACACCGGTACTTCCAGTTGAGTCGGTGGGAACCTCTGCGAGGCCTGTTGCCCTCCCCTCTCATACTGCTGGCGTTGGGCGTCAGTGGAGTTGTCACAGCAGTTTCTGAGGTTTGTTTTTTCTCAAAACAGGAACTTTTGAGCTGCGCTTTTAGTAAACGTACTTATTATTATTTTTATTCTGTAGAAGTCTGTGATCCTAACTGGAGCATCTGTTTTCTTGTCTCCAGGCTTTTTTCTGCTGCGACAGCCACTTGCTTCTGAGGCTCGTCCATATCGGCGTGGGGGCAATATGTCTGCTTGGTGTGGTTGTAGCTGTTCTTCTCACAGAGACTAAGCTTGTTCAGTTTGTGAGCACCCAGCTGCTGCCTCGATTCAGAAAGAAGCGCACTTAAATTAGACGTAAAACTGTTACACCTGACTCAAAGAAGTCATGCGTTTCCACTACAAACTGAGCCGGGGAACAACCTTTTCTTTCTAAGGACCTCACATGTGTCATGAGCGTGTGTGAATCTGTGAGTTTTATATAAAAAAAAAAAGAATGAATTTAGTTGTGGGTTTAAAAAAGTGGATGTATTTTAATAAAACTCTTTATTGTTTTACACAATGACCATGAACACTGTATTTATATCTGTGGTGTTTTTCCAGGAATTAAATGGAAAAAAGTTTGGTTTTAAATACTACGTTTATGTGTTGCTCACCTACCTCTGTAGCTGTTTTGGTGAAACAGTTGTGCACAAACTAAGGCAGGCGCTCTCAGTGTTGACTGATTGGAGTAGAGTTGTATTTAAGAAGCAGTACAACATGTTTACTAAAATGAAATGAAATGCTTGACTTCTGCTACCGTGACCAAATATTTTGTTTATATTGTGAGAAGTAGTTACGTTCTTGAGCCTTGATTTGCACTAGTATTTTTTTCCTTTTTTTAGAAAGAAAAGTTTGAGTTCAGTGCTTAAGTCAACTCAGCTACTTTGTAATTGTTTCCCTGTCTGATAAGACAGCCATTTAGTTGCTTTTCTTGACCCTAAACTAATTTCCACTGAATTTGGGGTCTCCGTGGGGTTGAATAATGATGTAATTATGGAAAATGAACCTATCCCATCAGCCCAGCAATTTTTTCACAAAGATGGATGGATGGGTGTGTGGGTGTGTGTGTGGGTGGGGTGACATTCTTTTACAGCAGGAAAAATTAAGTCTCCTCTTAAGAAAATCAAGTACTTATCTCTTGATTCACATCTTATAAACTTTGAGTTTAATTTGCATGGTTTGTTTATTGTCAGCGCTGTTAGAAAGCAGCTGCCCAACCAC